ATACATACGGTATATGTATACAAATATATCTAAAGAAATCTTTCGATATCGTATAAGAATATATTAAGCAGGTAGAGATATGTGTTTTATCATCATTTATCTCTGTATTTTTTTTTCTTATTTACACATGCGCACGTTTATCATATATATGACTATTTAAATTTGTCAAGAAAATAATGTGAATAATAATCTTGGTACAACATAAGGACCCTCGTATGAGGAACTAAAATGATGAAGCATTGACATTCACAATGTAGGAAAACATCGAGGTTCCAAAGCTGTAGGAGTCAAAGAAAAAAAAAACCGAGAGATAAAGGAAGAAAGCGATAGGTAGAATGCGCAGAGGGTTGACTGGTTTACAATACGATAAGATACACCTCTTTCTTAAAACATGATTATCGTAAAAAACGTGTAAAAGAGAAATGGACCTTGTACATAACTAGCTTATCGAATAAAGATATTCGACTATCAATTTGAATAAAGTTCAAGCTATTTTTAACGTTGAAGAAAAGTAGGTACCTATTTATTTTAAAATCATATTTTATTATATACACAACATCCATTGTAGATATATTACAAAGAACAAATTCAATGAAAAACAATAAGATTTGAAATAGTCAATTGTCATCCAAATCATCTGTTTTCGTAGATTGGCCCTTATCGATCATGATACTTTAGGTGCGTTAAACAACAAGAAAGTATGAGAAATAAGAGGAAGGAAAGGAATAAAAGGAAGAATAAAAATAAAAAGGAAAAGAGGTAAGCATAGAGCACACCTTTAGCATGGCAAAAAGTCGCTTCCCGGCTGAGCATTCAGGTTTCGGTCGTTTGGGTGGCTGCCTGCCCGTGTTACCCGATGCCCCCTTCACCTTCACTGCACATATAAGGGCTGCGTCCCCGCGCACGCACCAGCGAAAAAACTGCATACGCATACGATAACGGGGGTGCGTGCCTGAGGGCTATCCTTATGGGGCTTGGGGAGGCCATACAATACTTTAGTAACCCCGTAATACCTCCCCTTTCAAGCAGGCAGCTAGCCACCGAGTATAAAGTAGCCAAGCCAACTTCTCTCCTCCTCCTCAACGACACCACCTCTTCTTCGGCTCTTCCTTCACCTCCTTTGTCCTCTTTCGACCGTGTTACACCGAGATTAAAGGGCTGAGGGAAACAACAACGTGAAAAGGGATGGTGTTATCTCACGGATATGTCACGATTTATCGAACGCTAAGGCCGCCCTATTGTCCTGGTGAGCCGGTATCACTCATCGGTAGACTGTCCCTCTACGATGACACTCGATGACGTTGAAATCCTGATCGAATACATACCAATCAAAAATAACTTTGATTTAATGAACTTCTTATATTTAGATTCACGTATTCGTTATTATCAAATGTACTTCGTGTTACAGAATTTTTATCGATGAAATGGATTGAGGCACAACCAAATTTTCATGCAATGATCAATAATTGTAGAAAATAATAGGTAAGTTTAATGACAATGTTTAATGACAATGAAAAATATGGGATTGGGGATGGTCATATTCATCAGATCAGCATTTCGTGATAGAATACTTATGTTCGATGTATTTATTCATTCGTTAAGGACTATACCGAAGATCGATTGACGAATATTTGGTTTAACATGTCGAAGTGCGAGCTAACGCATGAGTAATCATAAATAATCGCAAGTTTTCGCGAGTATTCATTCCCGACAATGGCCGACCTTTATTCCTATTTATACTGCAAAATTCCAGGAATAAGAGAAGGTAGATAACATCGAACTTAGCCGAGGTACGAAAAAGGACTACCTATAATTTTCCCCCGATTCGTGGCTGTCGAGCACCGGGCATCGGCTGCACGCACATCCGCATTCAATCAAACTTACTCTAACTCTTTCTTTCTTTCTTTCTTTATTCCTCATTTATTTCCTCTCTTCCCATGTCTATTTCATTTTCAGTCGGATGTCGTCAAATTCAGGGGGTCTGGAACACTCCTAATTACATTTTCTCAATGAATACGCGGACTAGTAGTTCTAATAGTATGATTGTTACTATTTATAAGTGATTGCAAGTTTTCCCTGTTGGCACAGCTAGTTATTTGTCTTTTAATCTTTTTTTTTTTTCTTCGGAATCTGATGAGAATCAAACTATTTTTGATTTTAATCTGTAAGGATAGTAATAATGGAATAACGGATTTTGCTAAATTGCTAATAAATGTGATTAGTCAAGGTTGATGCACTGTAAAATACAATGATAAACGATAAGAAAATAAATGAAAGGAACGAATAGCCTAAAATTCTAGGAAGATGATATTTCGTCTTGTTGGCAATCAACGGTCGAGACGACAGCCAGACAAGACAAGACAAGACAAGACAAGAGACAATGATAGATCAATCTAATTTGCATGGGTAGACGCGTATGCCGTGCGTCACATTCTCATATCTTTCTTTATTTGTTACTCTTTCTCTTTCTAATCTCTTAGATTTTATTTTCTTTTATAAGCGTCACACCTTGGACGTTCTAAAAGAGTCACGTTGTTAAAAAGCCGATGCATACGAACTCGACCGTGACCACTGACAAAATAACAATTAGTTACTGAGTAACTGACCTCTAAGTGTCTATCTTTCTTAGAATCGAATTGACGACATTTAAAAGACAAGAAGTCTTCCCAACTTGATTCCGAACTAACAATCAATTCGTTTCTGACCTTAATAAGATAAAACGATCTTATAATTGTAAGCTAAGATGATATTAAATTAACTACATAAATAGCGACAACGGCGGCCATGTTAACTTTTAACATTAACCATAGCAAGTAAGGAAGTAAATACTGAGCGTGTCGATTGAGGGTAAAACAGAACAGTTGTTGTCGTAAAAGAAGGTAGTAGTTCTTCTTCTTCTTCTTTCTAAACAAAAAATCAATTAACATTATCCTATCTTGCTATGATAAAATGTATTACTCCCGATTGTTTTTCTTTTTTATTTTTTTGTGTGATCGAAAAGACATGCTCTGTTGGAAATGTTAGAGAATCATTTCAAATCAAAGTAATCTATTTACCGATTGCAAATAAAAAAGGAAATTCGATTTAAACGTTAGGACACAAAATTATTCTTATCATCGGAATAGTCATATTTCAAATGAATATAATTTCGGGAAAGTTTCTAAAGTATCGACGAGATCTCGAAGGAAAATTGAAAGGACAAAGAAAGAAAAAAAAAAAAGAAAAAAAAGAAAGATAAGTGAAATGCAATGTAGCAGTAAGAGATTAAAGGAAGGAACCGGTAGCCACCCAAGTAGGCGGTTCCCTTTCTCTCTGAAGTCGACCGCGTTTAACGTGAGCTCCTTTGCCTTCTTTTTTTTTTTAAACCTTTTGCTTTCAAGGTTGCCGCTACCTGCGGCGAACGTACAAGATGAGAGAAAGAGAGAGAGAAATAGATAGATAAAGAGAAAGCGAGAGAAAGAGATTGGGAAGAGAGCGGTCTTTTGCACCTCAGCAACGAGAGTAAGCTTGTTAACTTGACATCTCAATTTAAACGCTTTCGAGGACGCAGGTTCGGTTGAATCGAATCAATGCGAGGAAAATATAGAAAATTATCTTGGATGAGGAAAAACCCCGTAGAGTTAGAGATAGAAAATATAAGTTTGTAAGTATAGTAGAGGTCTGCGTATCGCGGAGAGGAAGGGGAGGGGGAGGGGAAAACTATACATTTTTACTTGCACATATTACGTTTAGTCTCTATACCTTTCTTCCTCATTTTCTTGTCAAGAAATATATAGGAGAGTTCAGAAAGAAAAAAGAGAAAAAGGGTGGTAGATTAAGAAAATAGAAAGAAGAGAATGACAAGAGAGCAAACGGGTGGATGGGGTGGGGTGGGGTGGGATGGGGAGGGAATCCTCTAGAAAGTACTACTACGGAAGGAACAAGAAAGTCCTAGGGAAAGGAAAAGACGAAGATAGGAGTCTTGGCTCATAATAGAAGGAGAGACCGGCGCCTCAGCATCACCACGTGGCATGCGGCCAACTACTGCCTCCTGATCAATATGCTTACAGCTAACTCGCTTCTCTTTCTTTCTTTCTTTATTTCTTTCTTATTTCTATTCTTTTTATCTCTTTCTACGTTCTACGTTTGTTCTATACGTTAACCACCATCCTGAGGGCCGACGCCGAGAATATCAGTGACGACGTCGAAACGTTCCTCCCATTACAAGAGGAAGTGATAAGGCATGACTGAATGAAAAGATCCAACTATTATCTTAAGTTCGATTTATTAAAAATTTGCTTTTTGTTACCGAGAAAATCGTAGAACACGAATATGAGGACAATTTGCCGAAAAGGGTACCACGCGTGAACCACGTGTTTGCTAAACGAACGGATCATTTTCCGTCCTCCCTTTTTCATGTCAGGGTGGCGCCGGTATCGGCGGCAGGGTTGCTGCTGCTGCTGCTATTGCTGCTGGTGGTCGTTATAGCGGAGGTAGTGTTATTGGAAAGAAGAAAGAACAGGATTTTGCTTTTCTTAATTGTTATCTATATCTATATCTATCTATCTATCTATCTATCTCTTGGTGATCCGAAGAGATCATCATCCGACCCTGGGATGGTTACGTTACACGACTATATTTCCGTGTTCGCAGAAAGTCCAAGACACGTACGTACACAAGAGTGAGGAAGGTATGTATTAACACATTTCGAACGGTATACCATCACGTTATACGGGGGACCACCTATATAAAGAGTTTATGAAGAGTTTAGCCGAGCGTCGTAGAATAGCTATATCGTCGTGGCTGGGAGGGTAGGTAGGAGGGTGGGTGGGTTGGTTGGTTGGATGGGTAGATAGTGTCTCGTTGGTGGGTGGTGATAGTGGTGGCGGTGGTGGTGGTGGTGGTGGTGCCGGTGCCGGTGCTGCTGCCACTGTTAGTAGCGCTGATCGTAGAGCGGTGGTGGTGTTCTTGTGTGTGTTGGTAGTGGTGGTGGATGCCTCTCAGTGTCCGGCGCGCCTCCGACAAGCGTGCTTCGCTCGTTACAGAGATCCTTTGGCGTTTCGTCCTCCTTCGTCGATGCTAGTCTACCCGTTACCTCGCGAAATCAAGTGGCCCGAAATCGGAAAAGGTCGCAACCAAAGAAAACCGGCAAGAGTATAAAGGGATCTCTTTCAAAAGTATCTCAAGATTACTGAAATCTTTAGAATGTCGACTTGGATATTTGAGATTTTTCCAATAATTATATCGACGAAAATGCAATAACAACGATAATACTAGCGAAAAAAGGCTAATCATATCTGCAGTAACACAACAAGAACACCAAACGTTATTTCCTTATTGCTGATTTTCATATAAAGAAAAGAGGAGATGCGATTGGATCCAACATTCGAGTACGCACTCGAGTTCCTTGCCGGCTTATCGACAATTTTCCAAAGGAACGTGTTACGACGGACAATTACGACGATAACGAGGAGGAAGAGGACGACGACGACAACGACAACGATAACGACGAGGAGGAGGAGGACGACAAGGACGACTTGCTGTTCTCGGGAGGGATAAGAACGCAAGAGAGGCGCGATAGATCGTCGCGACGAGATCTTCCCTATACGAGAGATCTCAACGAGTCGGCCAATGTCGTCGGATATTATTCATTATTGGACCCCGCCAAACTTTTAAATGGTGCACTTCTCCGAAGGGCTTAGTCGTAGTGCAGCATTAAGTACGCATAGAAAGTGTCCAAGGAAGTCGAGGAGACCTTAGAACCCTAGACTTTTTCTTACTTTTGTGAACTTTAGAGATTAAAAAAAATAGTAAGAGAGAGAGAGAATCTGTAAAGAAAGGAACGAGCGTAATACGCGTAGAACAAGTGTCCTTGATTTGGAAGATAAAAAATCAAGATAAGGTAGAATAAGAAAAAGATCAAGATCGATATTAAGCAGGTTGATGAGGAATCGGTGAATCGATCGTAAAAAAGTGGGATTGCGAAGGTCGATCCTGCGTGTGCCTTGCGCGTATTCGAAGGGAGCGCGAATGGCCGGGAAAACGAGCAGGGTGTACCCGATTACGGTGGTCCAGCGTGTCGGTCAGATCGATCCCGAAGCACCGGCACCGGATCGTTGGTAATGGGGGGTTTAGGCGAGGATGCCTCCTTCCCGTCGTCGTCATCGTCATCGTCGCCGTCGTCACCGTCGTTGCACGCTGTCGTCGCGTTATCCTCGTGTCCGCGTTTTTGTCGTCGTCGCCGTCGTCGCCGTAGCCTCACCTCGCAGCTGTGCAAATCAAAGAAATCTTTCATCGCAGCTGATACCCATCGAATTAGATCCGTTATCCTTACGGTCTTCTTCCTTATTTTCCGTAGCATTGAGAAAACTAATAAGAAGGAGAGAAGAAATAATAGTATTGGTAGCATCGATAGTAGAGATAGTAGGGAAACCGAGACCGTTCGTAGTCATAGTATCTTCGCCTCGGAGAGGAAAAAAAAGGAAGGAGATAGGGTGCTCCTTGGATCGGCCCCTAGAGAGCCAGAGCAAAAGAGAGGAAAGTGGAGGAGGTGGTGGGGGAGGAGGAGGTGACTCGCCGCCGAGATGCACCAGGTGCCGTACGGAGTGGGACTCACCTCGAACGAAGGTCGAATCGCCAAGTTCCGAGAGGAGAGCCAATGTTACCGGCAATGGCACCGTCATCACCAACGACAACGGAATCAACGACAAAACCAATATCACCAGCAACATTATCAGCAGCAGCAACAACAGCAGCAGCAGCAGCAGCAGCAACAACAACTACAACAACAAAAGCAACAACGATGGTCTCGTTGCCGGCCTCGTCGAGAGGAAGAAGGTGACAACGTCGTTGTTTGCGAACGACCGAGACGAGTCTTCGAGTATACAGAAAAAAGAGACGAAAATACGCGACGCTTCCACGTTCGGTCGCCTAAATTGTTCTCCGGATATGGGGGCTGTCTCCTGATACCTTCCAATTTTCTTCTTATCGGACTGGTCTTATGTTACCTTACCCTACCATCCGTCCAACCGAGACAGGACAATCATCAGACCTGTCCCGGGTGTCCTCATCAGCAACAGCAACATCAGCACCTTCACGAAATCCATCGAGGTGGTGGCAAGCATGGGACTGCGCCGAGTCCCGACGACCTCAGATTGGAAGCGATCAAACATCAGATATTAACGAAATTAGGCTTAAGAACACGGCCTGACGTTAACAGGACTTTGGCTGCTGTACCGAGGCACCTCGCTTTGGAGACTTTATATCGAGCCGAAGCTCAAGCACCACCGCAGTATCCAGAAAGAACGCGGAATGATCACGGAACCGAATATTCCGGTGAATTTCTTTACGGTGGCGACGAGTACTCGTATAAGAATCTTGATCAGCAAAACGAGGAGACGACAACTGATGGTAATTCCAGAACTACCACGTCCTACCAGGGGTACGGGGATTACGACACTAGATCGGGACACGAGCCTCAGGAGGAGTTGGATGATTTTTACGCGAGAACATCGGAAATTATCACTTTTGCCGAACCCGGTACGTTAACTTTATCTATCCTTCACTCATTAACAATAATTAAACTTTTCCAAAATGACTCCAAACTTAACGTAGATTATTAGATTTGAAACTATAGCCAAATAACGATTCGGAACAACATTGAAGAAATATACGATTGGAATTCGTGTAAAATACTTCAATATCACGTTACATACGTATGATTATTTAAACATGAAAGCGAGTGAAGGAAGGATCATAAATCGATTATCTGCTGTCGCTTTATTTTACCTATTTTACTTTTCATTAATTAACGAAGAAATGATAAACAACAAACTCATTTCCATTTCTCGATAATAAATGAATTAATAATAATTAATAACCATATATATTTGCTTTCGCGTAACAAGTTGGTATATTGTGAATATTTTTAATTATTGATCCTATATTACATTGATCTAGTAGACAAATTGTCTCTCACTTTTATATTTAAGCATCCAAATATATATATATATATCCGATTATTATTTCTATTAAAAGTCGACAAAAAAAAGAAAATGATCATATAAGATATTCGATAATAATCAGAATCGGATTAAATGTCGACACCTCTCTATTTGGTGAAACAAGTAGTGTCTGTTGGAGTTATTCGAATACACATGCATGCGTGGCCACACGCTTGGAGCCACGTGGCCTGCGGTCGTCGATGTCGCGGCGGCAGGCTATAGTTCGCTAACTCTAAGTATAACAATAAGGGTAATAGAACCCCAAGGTAGAAACGATAATGTTACTTGTGCCAATAGTACCGGGACGACGGTGGTGGGCCACCTTTGCAAGGTGTTCGCGCCGGCGCCGAGTACAACGTTACGCGCTCAAATTAATCACCCACTCGCGTTCCACCTTTTTTTATACCTTTCTTCTTTTTTCGAACCTAAACCCTTCCATTATTTTTATTTATCGTTTCGATGTTATTTCACAAAAATCTACAAGCTAATTTTAAAACTACGTTATTTCTTTTCATTAAGTTCATTAAATTTGTATATCAAACTTTTTTACGATAATATCATATCAATTCCGCATATTCATTCAATTGCATATGATTGGGAATATATATCATTCACACAAAGAGATTTTTTTATATTATAAGTATTATTGTTCTATAATTAATATTACATTTTTCATCGAATTGAATTCTATTAACATAACTAAAAACGTTAAGTTAAATATTTGATTTAGATCGAATAGCGATGATGAATAAAAAGCATCACCCGTGAAATAACCTGACAGGTGTTCAGGAAAATAAGAGTTAAGCGTGATTTAATATGAGACGAATTTGTGGTCGTTGGCCCCGCGGATTCCCCCATATCACGGTAAAACCACCGCGATACGTTTACGTGTGTGTTACTTTAACGTTAATGTCGGCCTCTCACTATAGAACACACGGGGTACAACGGAACACGTCATTCTTTTTGAAGAAACTAAAGAAACTACGAGCCGACTTCGCTTTGCCAACGTCGACGCGCATCGGCCGTTAGTTGTGGACGGGGAGGGGGGTGTATAGGGGGGTAGCGTGAGCGCACTCTGATGTAGTTAGAAGAGGAACACTGTAAGGAGGTGTTCGGAAAAACTTTTCGTTCCATATAACGTCGTTTTTTCTTTTTCCTTTTTTTTTTTTTTTTTTATACATATACACGTGGAAAAGACAAAAATTCCACGAACTTTAACTTGGGAAACTGAGCTGGCCATAGAGTTTTCTATTACGTCCGACATGGTTCAAACACCGCTTGATAAAATGTTACGTTGAATGAAGGGAATAAAGGGAAGGGAAGCATGGTTTCGTTCAACGATCATTAAGATTTTACATTGTTATTCATTTATTGCACGTTCCGTGTTCTTCCTCCTTCTCTTCCACTACCATTTCCTACTCTTCCACCAAGTTTTCTTTCTTTTCTGGAACGCCAACCAACAACCAGCTCGATAATATTGACGTTCGATCGTCCGATATAGTTTATTTTCTCTTTGTTAAGGCCTATGATAAAGGTAGGAAGCAATATTGGCACCGACTACTTCTCCTGGAAATATTATTCGTCATCTCCCTTGTCCTTTAATTACGTAACTTCAAAGCTTTCGTACTTTGTTCAAAGAAAATGGTAAAGGGAAAGAGAGAAAACGAGTCAAACGTTTGTAACGCGCGATTTCGTTAAATCCATCTTTTATAGTAAAATAGCAAAGAGAAATGTCGATCCAATTACAATCGATTGTTCTCGATGATAATTATTAAATTTATCATAAAAAGTTTTTGTTTCATCCTTTTCGATACTTCGAACAACAACCACTTCTTCCTTCTTCTTCTTTTTCTTCTTGTTCATGCATGAAGATAAAAATGATAATTCGATAAAATATAAGAAAATAATTTATTTTATCTTTTTTTTTCTTTTTCCTTCTTTTATCTTTATCTTGTTCTCTTACAATCAGTATAAATTGACCGGGGAAATAGATCCAAAAAAAACACACAAAAAAAAATTGTAAGATTCATTCCCCGAGATAAGTTTTCGGTGGAGAAAAAAAATAAAAAAGCGACGATAGTGATCATCCCGTTCCTTACCGTAAAAGTTTTCGTCCTTCGAAAAATGAAAGTTCCAATTCACTCCATTACGGAATACCTACCCTTCAGCACCATTAGTAAATCGTTCGGCTGGCTCGCATATATGTAGATATATATATATATATATACATATATATATATGTATGCGTATACGGAGAGTCGTGCGTCGCGTCGATTATTGATTTTTCTCTTATTCCGTATCCATAAATCGCGTTGGTAAGAATCGTCCTTCCTTCTCTCAGAGCTTTTATTATATTTCACCTATCGTGACGCGCGATTTAAATCAAACACATATCTACGTAACACCGATAAAAACCTCTTTTATATCCTTAACGCGAAATCAAGCTAACTTAAAACGTTCGAGGATTTTTCATTTTTAAACACTTTTATCGGTTCGCTTTTTTACTTATTTCTCTATCTTTTCTTAAATTATTGCAAAGCATCGATTATGCGAAATAACACGTTGCATGATAATTAAACGTAAATTTCGTAAATATCATTAACATTATTTTCAATATTTTCATCGATACTTTTTTCATTTATTTTTATTTGATAATTCTTTTTCCTACTACGCGTATCTCTTAGAATTTCTTTGAAAGTGTTGTAAGAATAATAATTTTGTATAAATCTAATATAACGAGGAATAATCAATTTTAATATGAAGATATCAAAGGGAATTTGGACATGAAAAAAAAAAGTAGAACTTAATTTTACTAAGTTGGACGTTTCGTAACTTTATTGGGACTTCTTCGGCAACTGGAAATTTTATTTTATTGTTATTTTTTTGTATATTACGAAATATATGATACTCATACATTATAAAATTTTACATGTTACTTTAATCTTTATAGTTCAGCGTCTTTTTTCTCTTTAAGTAGACATACCATTTTTATTTTTATTTTTAATATTCGAAACACGAAACATCTACACTTCGTTAAATATTAGTCCGTTATAATTTGAATATTCAACAAAACTGTTTCAATCTAGACTAGTGTTTATTAGTCTAGATATCTTCACTGTTAAGGTTTCTTCTATTGCAGTGTTCTATTTATTATAGTTAAATATAAAATTTCCGTTATAGATGTTGTTTAAATTATTTGTGTCTTAAATGAGTGTAAACCTACAAATGTAAATAAAACCAATACCACCGCGTTAGCTGAGCATCATTTTACAAAAGGACTCAACTTTAAATTTGACGTAGCAACAATTTTAGATTTAGAAGAAAATTGGTATAAAAGAAATATTAGCGAAATGTGTATCATATAACAAACAATAACACGATTAATTTTAGAACGGATACAAATAATTTAAACAACATCTATAACGAAATTTTTAAATTTAACTATAATAAATAGAACACCGTAATAGAGGACACCTTAACAGTGAAGATATCTAAACAAATAAACACTAGTCTAGATTGAAACAATTTTGTTGAGTTTTCAAATATAACGGATAAAGAGATAACGAAATTTAAATCTGTAGTTTTTTTGGAATATTACAAGAATGTATGTCTGCTTAAATAAAAAAAGATGCTGAATTTTATAGATTAAAGTAACATCTAATATTTTATAATATATGAGTCTCATGTAATTCACAATATATAAAAATAACAATAAAATAAAATGTCCAATTGCTGAAGAAGTCCTAATAAAGGGACGAAACATCCAACTTAGTAAAATTAAGTTCTACTTCTTTTTTTCATGACCAAATTCCCTTTTATACCTCCTTATTAAGAATTTTATTTTTAGACGAGAGAAACAACTGATCAATTTTAATTTTATTCCATTTATTCTGATGCAACACAATTAATAATTTTTTCTAATCATTCTTCAATTTTTTTCAACGTTTAAATATCAAACGTGTTAAAATCAACATTTAAATGTTGATTAAATCATACTTCACGTATAGATATATGTATTTTATAAAATCACTTTAATAAATTCATCGATTTTCTTATTTCAATCCTGTTTCGAGATCGTTAATGAGACCAAAAAAAAAAAAGACAAACAGAGAAGAAGAAAGGAAGTGTAGGTAAAGGAAAAGGAAAACGCTAGTCGCGTGCCATGGAATCCCCTATAATTGTTCATTCCTTTAAACAAGGCACGGGCGCAGTGCTTAAATTGCACACCTAGGGGAAGTGTGAATCAAATGACTTGCTGCGTTTTTTAAAATAACAATGTTTAAATGGTACCATATAATATGACGGATAACAAAATGATTTAAATATTTATCCCAATGAGAGACGACACAGTGATCAATGAAAAAAAAAATAAAAAGTATATATATCTGTTAGCATGAAAACATGAAATCCGTTAATTCATTATATAACCAGTTAAATCATGAAATAACTACGTCGACTAGTTAAAATATGAAATAATAAAGTATTACATAATAAAATAAGATAATATACGAATTCACGAGAGGCGGGTCGAGTAGT